TTCTCCATCTCATTCACACAACTTGGAAATATTCAAAATGATTTTCCTGTGTTTACAACACATGTGAGAAGTTGACTTTAACTTTGGTATTATTGAAATACTTTCTCTGAAAAAACGATTTTCTTTCGAAACATGTTCTTCCTTTCATTAGTCCCATGTGTATAATACTTCGATCCTTTGATGTGCAGTTACAAACCACAAAAGAGAATAATGAGTAAAAAATGCGATTTTAACTACCTGAGGCTTTTTTCCTCAAAAAAACAATAAAAATCCAATATTTAAAATAACCTGTTATCTAATTTTATAATTTGGGCATTTAATTAACACTTCAATAAACTTACGTGAATTTTTTGACAATTTTTTGAGCACATTAACGTTACTCTTAATAAGGCGCGGAAAAGAATGGAATCTTTTGAGGGCTAACTATATTATATTAATTATAATACTTTTATTTATCTCTAACACAATTGTAAAAAGTAAAAAAAATGCGAAAAGATTACAGCTGTTACTATAAGTCTTCAATATCGCAATACTTTTTATATTAATTTTATTTTTCATAATTTTCTTAAATAATATTTTCTATATTTTGTAAATCAATATTTTATTTATTAAACTAAGAGTTAAGAATTAAATATTCTAGTTTGTTTTTCATAACTGTAAAACGAAAAATTATAGGTCACGCAAGACCTCAGACGGGAATGATGTTAAATATTTGCCATGAAGATAAAAGACAAGAGAGACTGCTGACTTTTTCACCCTCAAAAGCGGGTCTTAGCGTGCGTGGTATTCGGGTGGATAAATTTGTGTGTTTACATGGATTATTGCACAGTCAATAATGGCACGGGCGTGTACGCGTAGTGCAAACAGCTCTTTAGACATGCTTCATTTTCGCTCGTTGATGCTAATTTACTTTAATACACAAATGCAGTAAATATTTACGCTTTTAAATATTTATTTACATCTTTCGCACGATTGAAAATAAATGGTTATAATACAAACCACGGATTAATTGTAAGGCTTAATTATGTTTCGGTTTATCGAAAGACACGTGGAAAGATCATGTACTTGAAAAGACAACAAACTCATATGCACGTGAAATATTTACAAAGCAAATATGCAGTGATATACAAAAGTGTTTAAGTACAAATACTCTTATCACGTAAGTATTAATTGTTATAATATTTAATTAAATCGCACACAATGGCGCACGAAAATAAAGAAAAATATTCCCGAGCTATCGCACGTTCAATTCGATATCAATAGTGAACTGTATTGTTTGTGATAACAGTTCCCACGACGTTGTCGACGTGAAACTGCTGTCGAGTGCTCGCTTGAATTCTGCAAGTACGACCCGTGGATTCGCCCCGCGGATTTAAAATCACGTTTTGCAAAAGGCTCGACGGTGGTGGTTTTCGCCGCCGGCTAGACTTAACCCCATCTGCCGAAACACGTGCTCGGGATAAAGCGGGGGGATTTAGAATGAACCCGCCAATCTGTTGGTTCAAAAGTACACTGTATATACCTATTGCCTGACACGCCGCCTCTTTCAGAGGCCCAGAATCCCTCAAGCACGCGTCAACCTATTTCGCATCTTCTACTTAAGAAGGTTGTGTTCAAGGAAAAGCCTCGCCCAGCTTGCCGGAAGTTCTCTTCCTAAGTCTCCAAAGTTGCATTTTAGGTGCATTCTAGGTAAATCTTCAACCTGGGTAGTCTTTGCATTTGAAATATCCTAAATCCTCTGAAATATTCTAAAAACTTTGCTCGCTTTTGACATTCATACATTTTTTGTTGAATAAGTCGTGTAATAATCTGATTTCCGGATGACAGTTTCTCTCATATTTCGGTGTTTTAACACTTAAAATTTTTGTACCGTCGGATTTGACAGTCTTAAGTTTTTATTTCTTGAACATTCCGGATATTCGATTTTAAAATCATAAATTCAGATTTTAATCTGTGCTCAGTTGTCTACATTTTCTAATGTTTATCGTCGTTTATGTTATCTTAAGAATGATTTACACGGAAACTATATTATTCAAAAACAGAAAACATGCCAACATCTTGATAACAACTCGATAATATGCCGAAATTGTAACGATTAAAAGATTGATTATATTTTTCCGGAATAGTGCTTTTTTATGTTCTATGCGAAAGCAGCACGGATGTGTATTTCAGTTCTATTTTTCGATATTACACCAGTCACAATACGCCTTCACCGCCGACGGAACAACGATTTTTAGATCACTACTAAAATTAATCGTCGGCCAATGCGGATCGGGAACACGCGGGTGTCAAAAGTAGCCGGATGTGCGACATGTAGATCCGCGCAACCATCATAAATTCCGCAGCACGAAAAGACGGAATGCCGATTTGGTTTGGTTGGTGCAACATAAACGTTTCCGCTCTCGGGTTACGAGACGCGACATTAATCTATCGAGAATTCTGCGAAATTTGCAGCAAGTTCTATCATTTCATCGCCAACAATTTTGCTTGGGTTTTACGTGGAAATGTTTGCCATTCATTCATCATCAAGAATGTAAACGTGAAACTAATGTGAGAAATTAATAACACATAGAATTCTTTGAAAAAATATGTAGCGCATGCAGATAAGACGCAGGTTTCATAAAAAAATAGTTTTACATCAAATAAAATCATGTTAGCAGAAAATATTGTGTACGAAAAATATAGAAAAAAAATGTTAGTTTTAGAAACACGTTATGTAAATGAATTAAATTGTTTTAAAATAGATAGCAGCATTTTTCGCGTCACGATAATCTTGTTCTGTTGTCAATAGTTGTTATATATCAGCATGCACATATATATTCAATTTGTATATGATCGTCAATATGATAATAATTTTTCTCTGTTCTCTGTTCTCTAACATTGTTCTTTCATGCATTCCAAAACATGAAAACTGAAATTAAATAATAAATATAAATATAAAATGATAAACATGATGCTCTCTCGAAAAGTTGCAACGATGGATGGTTTAATTAGTCGCGACAATTAAACGTCGAGTTATTTTCACTCCTACTTAGCTTATTTTCACAGCGCAGTTATCAATATTTCCACCGATAAGTACAAATATAAAAACATATTTCGCGTCCAAACATGATGTCGCGCGGCGACAAGCAATAAACATCCGGCGTTTTCACTAATAATACTTTTCCGAGTACACGTCTCACAAACAAAATGATGCACAACGCAACGTAAGTGGATTTCGTGGCAGGTTTTGAAAGAGAGAGACAAAACATTATTCGAGATTTTTACGTTTATTTCGTGTATTCGCACGATGTGTGTTCATTCCTAGGTACTGGTACGTAATAGTATAATAATAAT